TCTCTAAATGCTGCCTTGCTTAACTAAATGCTGGCTTGAGTAAATCAAATCTCAGAAGGCTGAGCTAGCTCCCGTTGGTTATCAGTATTGTATTTGACTTGTTTGCTTTCGTTTCCTACGCAAGTTTGGCACTCGGTTAAACGTAGCAGCTAGAATGTTGGGCTGGGGGGGAACAGAACAGAAGAATATGGTTTAAGAGAGTTAACCAAAATGGTGCACAGTTTTGCTGTGAAGGCTTTTTGGGTTTTTCATGACTTTTTATCACTCTCCCTCATTATCATCTTCCCTGTTCTTTACAGAAGGATGAGTAAGCTTTCATTCCAAAAAGCTCAAGATGTCCAGTAGGCAGTAGGAGCGAGGACTGGAACTGCAAGGACGTCTTGCAGGAAATGACATCACCAGCATTCAGTCAGGTGAATAAAACCATTCATCCTGCCATACTTTTGAGGTGTTAGTAGGATTGCACATAGTGTCAAAGTTTGTCTGTGGAGAGATTGACTTAATATTTATAGTTACAGTATATTAGCTCCTGCTGTACCCCTTGCAAGAAGGTTTCTTCTGCCTGCTTCTCACGCTGTTGTCCAGGAAGCTATTATTAACTTACTCCTGGTTAAAACACAGTGTCTGTGCAAGAGGTTGTGGAACAAACAGACAACAGGCAGGAAGAAGTTGCCAAACCAGATGCAGCCCCCAGGGACAGGGCTGCTAATGATCATCTCTTCCCTTCTCACGGAAAGCTAATACCTGTGGACTGGAAAGTAGCAAATGTGTCACTACTTTTTGAAGAGGATTCTAGGGGAAAACTGTGGGCTGCAGACTGGGGAGTTTGACCACTACCAACTGAATTAATAGAAAATATAGCATGGTAGAATTATTGGACACCTGCATAAATACGATATAGTGGGGAAGAGCCAATGTGGCTTTTCTAATGGAAAGTCATAGGTTAAAACAATGTTGGAATTCTCTGAAGGTCTACATAAGCATGTTGAGGTCCAGCTTACAGCCTGTACTCAGATTTCAGGAAGTTTTTAAACAAGCACCCTCACCTGAGCAGCTCCTGACGTAATAAGGGAGTTCCCTGTCATAAATAAACGGTTGGGGCAGAGATAGGAAAAGAGGATGTGAGTAAACGGGCAGCTTCATGGTGGCTGGAGGTCACCACTGGAGTGCCACAGGGTTGTTTTGCAAATGACCTGGAAAAACAATGTTTCCAGCTGGCTTTTACATTATTTGAGGTGGTAAAGAAGAGGGCTGATAGTGATGAATTGCAAATGCAAACTGTTTCACATGGGTGGGGAGCAGTCCTAATTTCACACACAAAATTAGTGAGGGTTTGGAGTTGTAATGACTAATTCTGTGTAGCTTTCTTCATCGGTGAAGCCTCAGTTTGGATAGTTTTACACCGGCTCAGGGAAGACTGCATAAGCTCACCGTTCCTAGGTACACAGCAGCTCTGCCTGGTTCAGAAGGGTCCTGTGTAGAGAAGTGGAGGATGCATGGAGAAGCAGTGTGTGCTTTTTCTGTTCTTCCCTAGGCTCTGGTTTTTGACCTGTGCTGGAGAGCAGGATACATGGAGAGGGGTCCTTTCGTCTGACCCAGCATTGACCGCTCATATATTCCCACATAAAATCTGTACAAATGGGAATTGGTATGAGGAATCATCTCTCCAGAAGTGGCAGTGTGTCATGTACATTGTTCATCATGCCATCACAAAGATGTAGGTGTGTGAGGGAAACTGCAACTGCAGGTATCTGGAGCTGTGAGCCAAAAGTACATGCAAAGTACGGCTGGGATATTTTTTTTCTTATGTCCTTTTTATAAAAGCTCATTAAATACATAAAGAATTACCTACATATGCAGTCTTACTAGAAGGATTAAAGAAGCCTGTGTAGACACAGTTGTGTCTTGACTACAGGATGTATCTGCCACCTGTGTTAAAATACACACATTTAACACAGATTTTCAGTGCATTTCTGATTCTGGCTTGCAGGGTCTGTAAACATCTGCCTGAGACAGCCCAGCAGCCCTGCACTTCAGGCGCTTGTGCAGACTTATTCAGCTCTTGATCTTCCTTTTTTCTTTTTGTGCATGTGTACACGCGTGCTTAACAACTTGTAGCTAGTTTGGTTACAACAGGATTAGTAAAAAGCAATTAAACCCACAGCTAATTCTTGTTTGAGGCACAGAAGTAGAATTTGTTTATTCTACAAGCAAGAAAGTCTAGATAGAAGGGGAGAGTTGCAGTATTTGTCGTAGATGTGTGTGTGAAGAGATGGTGTCTCTGACTTCCCCAGTACGTAGGGCATGGGTACTTGGAATGTGCAGTCTTGTAACAGTGTGCTTTTCCGTAGGCAAGAGGGATTTGTGTATGCAGGCAACATCCTTCACAGAAAGCGTAGACAGGCTTCGAGGCGTAGAGTTTCATTGGTGTGAACAAGCAGGGAGGCAGAAGGTAGACTGTGGTTTTTGTGGATTTCTGAGATAGTAGTGCAGTCCCCTCGTGCTGCACTTTTGTTTTTAAAGCAATCACATTTTTGTATGTGACCCATTTCTCCTTACTGTAAGCAGTATCCTACTGCTGTTTCTAATGAGAGTTGGAAGTGCTGAGATGTGTCTGGGATCAGCCCATAGCAGTGGAATTACAGCGCCCTAAGGCTGCTGGCACAACATTTACATCAGAGCACTTGCAGCTTTTAAGAATTGCTTAGCTGGAAAGGCAGTAGGTGCCAGGCAACTTGGATCCTGTTTCTGAGTCACATTCCCTAAGAGCACAAATTCCCAAACGGGTTAATGCTCCACTCAAATCTGCCGTACTTTCAGCATGCTTTCTGTATGGGTGATGCCCTGGAAGTTCCAGTTAGTACTGGCAGAGGAGTCCGGAGGTGCTGCCTTCAGTGTGAACCATTCCCTTGGCTGAGTCTTGTAGAGGGTCAGTCTGGTACCGGGAAGGGTTCCTTCTTCATCCCTTCCTCAGAATCACAGAATGCTTTGGGTTGGAAGGAACCTTAAAGACCACCCAGTTGCTGGGGAACTGGCACTGGTGATCCATCATGCAGCAATGCTGAGTTTGTTCAGTGTAGTTCAGGGAAACTGTTGCTGGTGAGTCTGTCTTTGTGAGGAACGTCATAGCAAGGCAAAGATTGGTTTTGAGGGTGAAGGTTTCAGTAGTCATGTTTGAAAGCTGATGGTCTGGTGAAAAATGAGTGGCAACAGCTACTTAATTATGCATACACGTCCCTTGCAGGCTCGGCTGTATATAGGATTCTTTCTCCATTCTAACCACGTAGGATGTTGAACCTTTGCTTTTTCCTTTATATCTGCATGTGGTTGAATTTCAGAATTTATGGGGCATCTTCTTAAGCCTCGTGTAAGAGCCTTTGAGGCTGACACTTTCCAACTTTAGTGCCAGTGGAGGAATTTAAAGTTTGGTTTCAGCTTTTTGTGTGTGCAGTTTGGGAAGAGCGCGTTCCTCGCTGTTTTCATAGCCTTTTGTATACAAAAGGCTCCAGAATATCTCCAGCAGTGCCCCAGCTGGGAAATGGTCTTTTGGATCAGAAGAAACCTGCAAATTGTTCTTGAGTTTGAACTAGTGATGCACTGTTGTTATGCTATAAGGTCTCCCCGGAGCCTTCTCTTCTCCAGGCTGAACAAGCCCAATTCTTGCAGCTTTTCATCATACCAGAGGTGCTCCAGCCCTCTGAGCATCTTTGTGGCCTCCTCTGGACTCGCTCCAACCGGTCCATATCCTTCTTATGTTGGGGGTTCCACAGCTGGATGCAGCACTCCGAGTGGGGTCTCAGGATTCTTTCTCCATTCTAACTACGTAGGATGTTGAACCTTTGCTTTTTCCTTTATATCTGCATGTGGTTGAATTTCAGAATTTATGGGGCATCTTCTTAAGCCTCGTGTCTTTGCATTCTCTTTTAAGAGCCTTTGAGGCTGACACTTTCCAACTTTAGTGCCAGTGGAGGAATTTAAAGTTTGGTTTCAGCTTTTTGTGTGTGCAGTTTGGGAAGAGCGCGTTCCTCGCTGTTTTCATAGCCTTTTGTATACAAAAGGCTCCAGAATATCTCCAGCAGTGCCCCAGCTGGGAAATGGTCTTTTGGATCAGAAGAAACCTGCAAATTGTTCTTGAGTTTGAACTAGTGATGCACTGTTGTTATCATGATCTCCAGGTCCAAAATCTCTTAGATTATTTCTAAGTGCTTTATACAGTGAATAAATAAGTTTGTTCCTGTTTGACAGGTATAAGGACCGCAGCGCAGAAGAAACAACCTTTTTGAAGCTGGTGTAGTAAATCGGTGACAAAGCTAGAAGAATGGTCTCAGGTTACGTAGCTGCCTCAAACACATACTGCTGACTGGAGCAGACTGCTCTTCACCTTTCTGGTAGGTGAATTTAAATATTGTTTTGTGGAGGTTCTAACACAGACGTTTCTGCAGCGTGATAACCAGCCGGTCCCTGTGAGTAGGCGATCTCCCAGCTGGAATGTGCTCTGCCCTGTGGAGTTGCAGGTTCTGATCTGGTTACACTGCTGTTTAAAATGATAGATCCATCACTTCTGTGGACTTTCAGAGTCAGAACAACTTTTGAGGTGGTGGTTTCCTGTTTTCTTCTGTCTGCTTAACAGATTACATTAGTTCTAGGTAAAAAGTATATAGTACTGGTCCATCTTTGGTTTTGGTTTCTGAATTTCCTAACCTAACAGCCAACTTACTTTTACTGCTTGGTGGAGCAAAGTTGCTTTTTATCTGCAGTCCTTAAAAGATGAATACTCAAACTGCAGTTTTCTATTTCCTTACAGTAGAGCCCAATATTTGCCTACGCTGATGCAGACACAGCCGAATCTGCCACCTGCTTCTCCAGTCTGCCTAGCTTGCTCAATTAGCTTTCTGATTCATTGTTGTGGAGACATGTTTAAAAATAGTATTTTGTGCAAATTAGTTACTTTTAAATAAGCTTTGTATTCCTAATTATGTTTACATCAATTTTCTAGAACTATGCCAAGAAAAAGAAAGCTTTTGGCTCAATTAAGTGCTCTCCAAAGCAATCCCAGCTTCCCTCCTTTTGATGCCTTGGAGAACCTCAACGCTACGCCTGATGGGAATTCTTCTCCAAAAAGCAGCAAATATTTTGCAATAGAGAAAAAAAGTGCTTCCCAGCTAGAAGCAGATTTTTTCAACCAGCCCTGTATTAGTCTGGCCAGGTCCTTTCTGGGACAGGTAAGACACGAACACTGAGGTTACTGTGCTGGAGCACGTGCGAGCTCATAACCTTGTGTAAAAGGATGACGCTTTTTTTTGTGCCATTTGACTCCAGGGCTTTGCTATTTTAGGAATACTGCTCTCATTCCTTCTCTTGTTAAGTTCAGTGGAATTTAAAGACTAGTAGCCAACTCTGTTTTGGATGAAGTCAGAGGAGGAATTTTTCAGGTTTAGTTTACTGTCACATTTCAGAATTAGTTTTTGTGGAGTTTTTTTCCTTTTTTTCTGCTTTACTGAAATGTACTTTGTGGTTTGAAAGTTGTTTCAAGCTCGTTATTTTCCTTTCAGGTATTCCTTCCTTTGTTTTTTGGCTCTTTGTTAGCCCAACAGAAAGTCATGCTCCCCAGTGAGCAGCATCTCCTTCTCTGCCTCTCTTGTGATGCGGATAGCATGGCAGCCCTTGGCCTTTCTTGACCAGTGTCGTAGTGTACTCAAATATTTCACTGTACTGTACTGCTTGGTACTTCCCTTATGCTGCCCTGTATGCTTTGGAAGTTGGATCTCACACTGCCTGCGTGTATCTTGCTGTTCGGAGTAACTCGGTGCTGTCGGTGCACAGGGCAAGTTCTCTATCCATCACCTTCCTGAGGTTATTAACACAAATGCGCGAGGCAGCACAGGCCCTGGTGTGGGGGCATTTAGGACTCTGCAGTCCCACACTTAAACCATCTTCACTCTGGAAACTGCTATTCCTTCTTTTTGAGTTTTCAAGCCGTTCCTTGTTCAGGAAAGGACCTCCTCCCTCATCCCCATGCAGAAACTTTGAGGAGTCTTTGGACCTTGCTGAAAGCCTTTCGAAATCAGAGTGGGGGGGATTAAACGTGTCTCTTCTGCTTAGTGAGCCCTTCAAAATAACTCTCCCGCTATTTCCATGGGAGGGAGTTCCTCCAGTGTTTTCCCTATGAAAAATTCCAGTCTGGCACCTCCTAAACACAACTGCAAAATTTGTTTTTAGTTTCACTCTTGTGGTTCTTATCTTTCCTGAGCCTTTTTTATACCTTTTGTTGTCCATAGGGTGAACAGGCTCCGCGTTCTCATTGGTTTAGATAACTTCAGGAATTTGTTCCACAAACTGTTGGCTTTGGCCTGTCTTGCTGTGTCTAGCTTTTTTTGTTTTCTAAGGATATTGTCTTGCTTGTAATTGACGCCTTTGCTCTGCTTTTTAACCTCGCTGGGTTTTTTTTGGTCTGTCTTAACCTTTTTCTGATAAGTCATGTGTTTGCTATCTTTATGGACATCCTGCTGGAGGCTTGCCGTTCCAGCTTTAACCTTTGGCTGCCTCTTTTAAGTTCTTCCTAACAAGCTTCCTCGCTTTATGCAGTTTCCACTCTGCTGGGAAGCACAACCCTGACGGATTATTTTTGGACCTTAATGCTTGTGGAAGGACCCTGAACTCACTTCGCTGTGGTCATGATACAACGTTGCTTGTCTGGGATAAGTCTCGGGAGGAGCCTTTCCATTTTGCTCTGCACATGTTGGAGAGTTTAGCCTTTTGTTGTGGGAACCCTGGTTACTCATCCTGCAAAGCGTTCGGCAGTGTCGAAAAACACCAGCCTGCGTCCCGGCCCACTGGGGTGTTCACTGGCTGTGTGAGGATACCTGAAGTCTCCCAGTACTGCTGCGTTTCTTGTCCGAGTGACTCCAACACCCGCAGGCATTCGCTTACCCCGGGCAGATGATATCTTAGTCCTAATTCTGTACTTTTCCTATTGAGGCCTAGAATTACAAGCCAGGCCATTTCTGTGTTTACATTGCTTTTAAAGTATAACCCCTAGTCTCCCATGAGTCTGTTCTCTTTTTCTTACAACTATAAGGAGTGGTAATTTAGTGTTTAGTTCGTTATCTTCGCCGTACCAAATTTTGCAGGTGCCTGGTGCATGAATACTGCTTACCTTAAATGTGATACTTCAGTTCTTAGAAACAAATACCCCAGAACCTACACACAGGAAGTGGCCTCTTGCAACAAACTGTCGTGACACCAAAATAGTCCTTGACGAGAAACAAAAAACTGCTGCGGAGTAGTTGGCGGGGAGGTGTTGCGAATGATCGCCGTTTTGAGTGGCGCCTCTTCGCTGTGTCTGGATGCGGGGAGATGCCCGCGCGCTTTTAAAATCGTCGCTGAACCATTGCATTTCATCATTTTGAGAGAGAAACAACTGTACTGAGTCTTTCTTAAACACACATTGCCCACAGTAAGAATTGTAGGAATCAGGTCAAACCACAGAAAACTTCGTATGAAACGTAGTGATTGTTTTATTTTTAAAGATCATCTTTTCACTGTCACGTTATTTTTCCCCGCATCTGCCTTGTTTTATTTACGGAGGTACCAGCAGCAGGGAACACGCTGCAATAACACAAATAACAATTGTTGTCTGCCTGGAGCCAATTCCCAGCTCTCCTGTACCGGCCCCCTCTGTGGTGCAGAAAATACAGAAATAGCACTCGCTCTGGTCACGGTTATCTCTGTGCTGGGGGACTAGGGCTTGTTTGAAACATCTCTGTGGAGAGAGACTGCCTAACCTAGTCATTTAGTTGTGCCACTGTTGTGTGATCTAAAGCAGGTACATTCGTGATGCTTCAGGGTTGATGCTGCTGGAAGATTTTGCCTTAAAACTGCCAGATGGGGGTGGAGAATACAGCAAATAACCACAAAAGCAGCTCTGTGGGCTTTGTTCTATGTAGGATGGTAAATTGGTTGTGATACCACCGCATCCAGATGCTCCGGGCAGCCAGTGGGGTGAATGACAGGTGGGAAGTTCTTGTACGGGGCTGAAAAGCTCAGGCTGGCTGACAGACTGGGCTGCTGGATGGAGAGGGGAGAGCACGTGGTGCCATCAGGGCCTTTTTCCCGACTTCTCCGTTTCCACCGCTCTTGCGCTCCGTGGTTTTATACGGAGGGCGGCTCACTGATGCACTCTGACCTCTCTTTCAGATTTTAGTTCGCAAGCTTCCTGATGGCAGAGAACTCTGGGGTAGGATTGTTGAAACCGAAGCTTATCTGGGCGGGGAAGATGAAGCTTCCCACTCGAAAGGCGGGAAGCAGACTCAGCGAAACGCGGCAATGTTCATGAAACCAGGAACTCTGTACGTGTATCAGATCTACGGGATTTATTTCTGCGTGAATGTTTCCAGCCAAGGTAAGTTGAGGCTGATGGAGTGTTAGTGCCTGCAGCGTGGGGCTGCTATTCCAGGCTACGCTTGTCGTCTTGCAGCCGCTCGGGAGCTCCCTGCGAGCGCTGGGAGATCGGTCGCTTGCTCTCAGGGCCTCCCCTTGGGACCTGGGTTTTGCCGCTGTGGAGACCGTGTGACTGCGGACAGACGGCACGCTGCCAGCAGGGCCCAGCTCCAGCCGCGTGGTAACCAGGCGGGGGGGTTTGGTCCCAGCTGTGAGCCCTCTGAGCCGTTCAGGCGCGGAAATGAGGACTGAGGAGGAGGAGAATCTTGATAGGATGGAGCTTTCACTTTTGGTGACCTGGGCTGCTGCCTTATTTATGGGATTCAGTGAACTTTGTGCCTGGAAAGTGGTGATGTAGAAGTAAATTGCAGTCTAATCACAGCCTAAATCTTGGTGTCTGTTGTCACAACAAGAAACTCTTCTGTCTCCTTCCTTTATCTTCAGAAGCTGTAAATGTTGGGGAAAACGGGAAAGGTCTGAGATGTCCTAAGCTCCAGCAAAGAGACCCTGTAGGAGCATTTTAGCTGCTTTGCTGTATCTTAAAACAAAAACCCCCAAATCAAAACACCCAGACTGTTACAGACTCTGCAATCTTATTACTCTCAAGATAATGTAATCAAACCCTAATCAAATGATTCTGGAGTTTACTGACTCTAGGAAGAAATTCTTCCCGGAGAGGGTGGGGAGGCACTGGAACAGGTTGCCCAGAGAAGCTGTGGATGCCCCATCCCTGAAAGTGTTCGAGGCCAGGCTGGATGAGGCTTGGAGCAACCTGGTCTAGTGGAAGGTGTCCCTGCCCATGGCAGGGGGGTTGGAACTGGATGGGCTTTAAGGTCCCTTCCAACCCAAACCAGTCTGTGATTCTATGATTCCTCTCAACACGATGTGCTGCTTCTAAAACCTGGGTTTTCCTTTCCCGTAGGAATGGCAGTGTTTGCCTGGCAGTAAAGCTACTGGCTAATGAGACACCTGGAAATGGCAGCAGACATTCCGCAGATCAATACTCATTTTATTAGAAAAAATCTCAAAAATAATTTCTTTTCTCTCTCGACGTTTCAAAGAAACAGCTTAACCCCACCCCATGCCCCCGCTTGTGGATTCTGAAGTGGGAATCGGACATAACGATGACCATTAATCCCAGGTTTTGGCTTTGGGGCAGGAGCCAGGCAGAAAACAGTGCCAGGTCACGCTGCGGGGGAAGCGCCTGTCTGCGAGCAGGGGGCTGGGGTCGGGGGGTGAACACATGGGAATTTCCTTACCTTGGCTCTGCCGAGCCTGCTCAGATCGTGAACACAGGATGGTTCTTTATTCAGGATGCTTACTGTTTGAAATATTAGGAATAATTGTTTTTATTTTAAAAAAATACGCTTTGCCTTTGAATTCTGAAAGATTTGTTTGACATTTATACTTTGGGAAATTTTCCCTTCTGTACCTGTAGCAAATCTAGAACCCTGTAGTTCCCTTCTAGAACCTGTAGTTCTGTAGCAAATCAGTCCCAGCTCACCGTCCTGATGGATTTAGCTGGGTTTCCAGGCGGCGTCTGCTGCTGCTGCAGACTGGAGCAGTGGGGAGGGGTCTTCAAACACGCACAGGTGACCCCGTCCGAAGCCGCCGCAGTTAGGACCGGGGTGCGTGCTAGCTAAGTTCATGCCGAATGACGTGAGAACGAGGGGAAAACCTGAGGTTGATTTCGGGAGGAATCAGTTCTTCCCAAATCACTCCTGAAAGCTGTTTCTGCCTGGCCGTCGGGTGGTTTGCATCGATGTACTCGTGCAATCATACGCTGATTTTTAACAACGCGTGCGTTTCTGGAGACTGCTAATTAGGTGGTTTATTAAGGCACAAACGAACTCTTAGCTGGCTTAGGTTAATGTGGTCTTGTAGTGCAGCAAGTCCTCGCGCTGCTTACGGTACGGATTACGAGGCTCCTTGAGGGAGGAAGGCGGGCGGTTCAGAGAAGCAGCTATCCCCTTACGTCCTGGCAGTGCCTGCGGTCCTGCTGCTTCGCAGACTCTTGAACCCAGTGACCGCGGAGCTGACGCGGAGCCACCAGCCTGAAGAAAGCCACCGGCCTGCTGCTGGAGAGGGATCAGAGCGCTCTCCTGTTGCCTGCGCTTTGCTACCTTCTTGGCACAGACACTGCTCAGGGCTGTCCCAGACACACTGTTGGGAGCAGGCGAGCCGCCTGGTCTGTGGTTTAAAAAGTAGGCTTTGTTTTACAAAGCAGTTTAACGCCGACTCGAGTCGTGCTGGGGCCGCCTTGGTCCTTGATCAGCCCGGGATCTGAGGCCGGTATGAGATGAGCAAAGCTTTACGTGCTGCTCCTACCGGCTCCCCTCCGCTGAGCTTGTCAAGAGTGGGGTAGTTGGCTCACGAGATTCTGGCTCTCTAGAGCAGTTGTTCTGGGCTGTAACCTTGCAGCATCCTCTGGTTAATTCCAGCTGGAATAAACCTCTTCTGTGTGTGTGTTTGCCGCATGCTAGAGCTCAGGCGCAGTGGTGCCGCTCGGGGCCAGGAGAAGGTGTGTCGCCAGCAGAGCTGTGCTGGGAGGGGTCCTTGGCAGAGGCCACAAGGCACAGACTTGCTTCGAGAGCCACCACCCGTGTAGTGTCCTCAGCCCGGCCCCACGCTGCCCACGGACATCAGAGGCACTTCGGCTGTAGCTCTGCCGCTTCGCCGCGGCGCTGTCGGGTCCAGTCGAGTCCCCTCGGCTGCAGCTTTGTGTTCCTAAGATCACGAGTGAAGACTGGCCTCCAGTGCGTTGTCACTGAGGAAGGGCAGATCTTCCTGCACGTCACCACGGTAAAGCTGCATGAGGGGTGTTAATGTGAGAGGTCAAACACTGCTACTGCCCGAAGCCAGGGCATCGCTACCTCAGGTTTTTTGAGAAACCATAGACGAGAGAGAAGAGAGTTGATGGACAGATAGAACCCGTGTCTTCCAGTGTGCACGAATCCTGCAGCGTATCCTGGCAGCAGCACAACAGTCGTAGTACTGAGCCCTCCTTAGGGTTAAGCCATTGGGCTTCCCTCACTCCAGGGAGAGGGGACATGCCAGCCAAGCCTCTCTCTGACTTTGCTGTGATCTGTTTCTCTGGAATCTGCCAAGGTTCCAAGCATTGCTGCCGGCTGGGAAAGGATGGCTTGTGAGATCAAGATCCCAGTGCTGCTGTGCCCAGGGTCGCACCGTGTGGGCTTCCCCCTGACTTTGGGATCCTGGTTAGGACTTTGGAGGAAGTGTTTCGGGAGCAGCGGGTCAGACGGGTGGAGAGAGGAGAAAATTTTCTTCTCTCCAGTGGCCAAGAGCCGTTTCCAAGAACGAGAGCTGGAGCCGTTCCAGGGAAGGAGCTGCAAGCTGCACAGTGGGGGTGTGGGACTTCCCTATCGTTTGATCATTTCTCGCTGTTCAGGGAGAGAACTGGCCCCTGTGGTGGTGTTAGATCCCAGCTTTTAGCTTTGGATGCTGCTGGCTGTGTGGAGTTGGGCACCTCTGGACTGGCGCTGCTGCTGCTGGCGTGTCAGCTGTCTCCCTGTCAGGCAGAAGCCAGATGACCCCGCAGAGCGAACCGCTGCAGGCTGGGGAGAGGGAGGAGGGCTCTTTGGTAGCTGAAATAAAACTTCTGATGTGCCAGTATCCCAGGAGGGCCCAAACATCAACCCAGAGGTGTGGGGGCAGAGAAGGCAGCAGCTCATGGCATCCCTGCGCTCTTATCCTGCCTGCTGTCTCCTGCTCCCAAAGCTCCGCTGGTGTTGCCGTCACGTGCTGGAGCTGCTGGCTGGGAGCAGAGAGCGAGGTCTGGGTTGCACACAGCTAGAAAGGGTGTGAAAACTTGTGTGGGGAAGTGCAGAAAGAGCAGCCAGAGCCAGAAATGCCAGGTACCCCCTGCCCGGCTTCGCTGGGCACTTGTCTCTCTCCACGCGAACTCCCAAGGACCCTGTTCCGTTCAAGTGTAGCCACGCTTTCCTCTTGCGTTTGTCAGGGATGAAGGCAAGTAATTAGCCACTGCTGAGAATCCCAGCCCTGTTCCTGGCGAGCAAGGCAGCGTCCTGACGCAAAGGCCGTTTCTTTGTGCTGGGATGAAAAAGCAGAATTGGGACATGGAGCGTGTTCATAAAAAATCTAAAATGCCCTTTGAGCTCTACATCGCTGCGGTACGGGGAAGCAGCTTTTGGCTGCCAGATTAGTGTCGATCCCCTTCCTTAGCGAAGGGAGAGCCGGGGAACGGGCTGCAGACAGCTGCTGGAACACGGAGCTGTTGTGAGGGCAGGGGGCTCCGAGCAGGTTTGGGGCGAGGCCAGAAACTGGGTCCTCAGCCGACAGGCTCCCTGGGGAGCCCAGGAGGCTAATTTAGTGTGAGATTTGTACAGCATAGGAGAGGGATTCTATTTTTGGAAATTGCAGGTCCTTGGGGATCTGTCAGTGCCTACAAAACAAGCCTTTGCCAGGCGGGAGCCTGGCTGCAGATGTTTGAGGCTGGAGAAGGGATTCTTGCGGAGCAGCATCAGGGAGCGGGCAGATGCTGATGGGGAGGAATGCTGTGGGCGGCCCCAGCACAAGGGCTGCTGTGTGGGGCAGCACACAGGGCGCTTCACCACGCGCTCTCCTCACCCCCTCGGATTCACGAGAAGCCCTTCCTGGCTGTCCGGTGGAGAACACCAAGGCAGCGTTTGTGTCCCGACAGGCCGGAGATCCTCGTCACGGGGGGATGGCTGCGCTCGGCGCTGCATCGCAGCTTCACCCTCAGCAGCACTGGGAGGGCAGCTGGCCACAGTGGCTGGGGGAGCTGGAGTTCCTCAAGGGTCCCGACAGGGCGGCAAATCGCATTTGAGGGGAGAATCTGCCAGTTTTCTTCCTGTCACAGAAAGTTTTTTTCCACTTAAGCGATGCTCCCAGGGCCCTGCATCCCACA